TTATTAATAATATAGTAATAATAAAAGAATACTAAAATTTTTAATAATATTACATTATATTAATAATATTATATTATTATATTAATAATAATATAATATTATTTTAAAAGTATTATATAATATATAACAATAACAAATTGATATACCAAAATAATTAAATATATAATTATTTGAATATAATATGTAATAATTATAATATAATAATAAATTTAAAATAATATAAATCATTAAAGTGTAATATAAAAATATTAATATATTACACTAAATAATTTATTATATTATAAAGTAAAATAATTTTTACTTCTAAAATAATTTACCGCTAACCAATGTTAATGTAAAAATAATATATCTTTCAAGAATGATTTTCTATTTTAGAAACTAGATTCACATATCTTTTATTTGGTACTAGTGTAGTTCAATTTGGAGTTCATTACTATGTCAAGTTTCCTGTTGAAGTCTACACTACATGTGCAACAATTTTCTCTGCAGGATATGTTATTAGTAATTTGAGCATATCTTTCTCTATATTAACTGTTTTTAGTAATGGTTTCCTTTTTTGAAAACTAGATTCACATAGCTTTCATTTGGCACTAATTTAGTTCGATTTGGAATTCGTTTGCTATGCCCACTTTTCAGTTAAATGTCATACACATGCAACAGTTTTTTCTATAAGACATGTCATTAATAAAAAGAGTATATCTTTCTCTAGACAAATCCCTTTTAAGATTTGTTTTCTGTTTTAGAAACTAGATTCACGTATCTTTCATTTGGATCTAATTTAGTTCAATTTGGAGTTCGTTTGCTATCTTAAATTTTCAATTAAATATCATGTACATGCTGTAATTTTCTACAGAAAATCTATATCATTTGTAAATCTCTTAAATTTCTAAATTTTAAAACGAAATTAATATTTATCCTAATGATCATGATCATAAATCTAATTCTAACAATATAGGAATAAAATATTCTGTTCTAATATTTAATTAACATTTTATCATAAAAATCTTATTTTTGTTCTAACATAACAAATTAAACTCAATCATAAAGAACATCATTTTCAAACTTTTTTAAATTTTAACTAATTTATAGGGAAAGTTTGGGTAGGAGATAATCTTGCTTCAACGCTGTATCGAAAAGCGTTTGTATGAGCTCCTCATTCACTTTGTTTGCTAGCCTCTGTTCCTCTCTACCAGTGCCACAGGAACTCTCTGTTTACTCTCACAACCATCACAGAAACTCTTTGAAGCTTACTGTCGGGCTTGAAGAGATAAGCTCTGTAGACTATAACTCACGTAATGCTTTGTGGAGGGTTTTGAAGGCTTGATATTTGGTTAAGCTTACTGTTGAGTTTGAAGAGATAATTCCTGCCATTAAATTTGTCAAATTTTTATAGTTCTAATGGAACGAGTTTACTAGTCATTCGGTAAAGAACTAAAACTAAATTCAATTTTAAAATATGTGTAAGGTTGATATCTTAACAATTATACTAAAATATAATAAAGCTAGACAAAAATAAATATAAAAAATGAACCTGATTCTTGTGAGTTGAGAAATGAAGCTCGAATTAAAGCAAGGTCGTCACTTAGTGGTGTTGATCGGAGAATCTATTGTTGAAGTTTTGACATCGTTTCTGACTGGATTAGGAGAAAATCCACCGTGTGAAGAATCTGAGACTTCTACAGGTATAATACTCCTCGTGCTCAATCTGAGAGTTCAAACCCAACCGCAACAACAAGGCCCAATATATTTTTTTAAAAGATAGAAATGGTTCTGTTAATGGGTGGCTGAATAAGTATCCTATCTTCGAGGAAGGCCCAAAACGCAAAGGCCCAAACACAAATGGGCAAATACTATTCCAAGTTGGGCAGAGATATGTTGTGGGCCTCGTGGAAAAACTAGGCTTACTTGTCTCTGGAAGGGGAGTGCACCTGGTAACCTTAGATCCAGAAGTAGGGCAGTTCAAGACGACGACGACGACGACGAATCCACCGACGCCGTTGAGCAGATCCTGACAGTGCAACTCCGGTGCGACGATCCCATCTCCAGCGACCTGAACTCCTAGCAGCCGTCGAAGGTCGTCGAAGTTGCTGATCGCAGCGTCGTCGAAGGTCGATGGAGGCGCAGTCGTCGGAGGCTCTGATAGGCTAAACCCATTATCTCCACCCCCTCAGATCCTCCCCTTGAGAGATATTCTCTCAACAAACCCACGTTTCCACGTTCTTCTCAACTCGTTGATCTGGGATTTTGATCGATATGCGTCGAAGGGTGCCAGATTTCAGGCGCCCAGTTCGAAGGAGGATCTCTGTTTGGATCTGGTGGCTTATTGGTATCTTCGTCATTGCTGGATTGCTCCTCTTTGTTGTCCAGCATCAGCATCAGGTTCAACTTGACCTCCCTAATCAGGTACAAAGTTGCTTTCTTAATTTATTTTTTTTTGATTTGGAGAAAACCCACTTTTGATTTTAGATCTCATCATTGTTTGGATCTAGGAAAGATAAGGAACTTGTATGATCTGAATGAGTCCAATTTTATATTCAACCTGTTTTAGAATTGTACAGTGCTTGTGGGATTCGGATACTGCAAATGGAACACCTTGTCTCAGAGGGATCAGTAGCTGTTTTTTGTAGCAAATCTTAGGATCTGGCTCCCATTTCACTGTTCAATATTTTGCTGTGGAATGTTTTTAAGTTAAAGGTTTGTATGATGTTTGAATGCAAAGGACACTTGATTAAGGATCAGTTTAAGAGAGTATGATATCCTAAAACTTTGCGTGCACTACTACTTGAGCACTTTGTGGTCATATTATCAGCACGCCTTGGGTGGATTCCGTGTGCTTTGTAGGAATTGGTACTGAGGAATGTGAATCCTTAAATTTGTCTTGGGCGGAGTTTTGTTATTGCAATGTGATCTTGAAGTTAAACCTAAGTCCAATTAGGTAGTTTCTGAGATTTAAGAAGCCGAAACGAGTAGTTAGTAAGCTTGTCAAGTTATTTCTTTCGTGCTTTACAATTGAATTTAGCTATTTAATATCTATGTCAAACACTCTTTAGTTGAAGAAATCATCCATCTACTAAGGGCCTGTTTGGTTGGTTTACATAAATTGTAGCAAATTGTTTTTCATGTTAAAAACTTTTTTCCAAGCGTTTCTTGTGTTTTTCCATGGAAAACCAAGTTTGGTGTTTGTTTCGCCATAAAAATAGGGGTGGAAATTCATTTCCACTACAGTCCGTTGTTTGGTTGGCAACCAAAAAATAAGAAAGAAAAACATAGAAATGAGTGCTTTTTAAACATAGAAATGAGTGTTTTTTTACCTTTCCAGTGTTTGGATGGCAAAAGAGAAAAATAAAAAGCATGAATCACAATACCTTGGTGAGCTTACCTTCCCAAAAAGACAAATATCTAATTCACATCATACGACTCAGAATATCACCCTGGTCAATTGAGCAATTCATAATGAAAAAACCACATTAGGCATCAATCCTTGCAAAATTGAACACAAAACATTATTGCCAATGCATTACTTCCAACATTTGAACAAGAATAGCAATAATAATTAAGTTTCAATGTTTTTACTTGCAACATGCCAAACATATCCCCCAGGTCAATGTATTTATTTTCAGGGAGCATTTCTTCATTGAGTTTGAGTCACGGTTTCAGTCGTGCTCGACCTTTTGAACCCTCCTAGTGCCAATAATGTTGCTTGGACCTCTCCTTCATTGAGTTTCTTTAATCGAGTTTGAACATTGCTCCTGAAGTTAACAACCTGAAATATATAGATCTAGTTCACAAATAGGAAGAGCTAATGTTCACAATCTGAACTATATTTCTGGTATTCATATTCATATGTAAGGGGTTGGGTTGAACTACCTGCTACATTGTATCCAAGTTTTCGGAATTTTGACAAAGAAAATCAATGACTAAATAAAGGTAGAGTTGAGAGGTAGGAGGTAGCTGCATATTTCTAGAAACAAATTACTGACATTCTAAGCCTGCTATATGCGATTAACATTGTAACTCAAGTCCTTTGAATCTGTAAAATTTCAGAGCCAGACAGGGAGCAACAAGCAATTTTCATTTAGAATTATGACCAAAATCACAATTTTATTAGCATGCAACAGAATCACGACAAAGGTTAATAAATACATTATATAGTTCTTAATAATTCAGCGTAATATTGTAAAGATACTTTTTTGGGATAAGTATTAGAATGCCACATCCCATGCCTCATGAACCATGGAAATATGCAATTAGAGTCCACATTTTTTAGCAGTAAAATTTCTTATCAACTTGACATTGGTCTTCCTCTAAGTAGTATCCGAATGAGAAACCAAAACTTTCCCAATGCCTAAAAGGATAATTGTGAGTCACGATTACCTAGAAATTTATATGTGCAAGGCAAGTTTATGTTGTACTTACCCAAAATGTCAACTATGTTCGCAAAGTTGAACACTAAGCATTGTTTACCTGGTTATGACTGCATTAGAAGTTGTGACTCTACACGATGATGCAGATCAAGATGACAAGAGACTTGGGTCACTTGTGCACTCACTGCTGAGATTCTCCTTCATGAAGTTCAAACAATATTACCTTAAAATTAAAATGATCAAAATGCTCGTTAAGATATTAATATTTGTATATATTTTTTCTCAAGAACAAATAGTCCGAACAAATAGTGCATAAAAAATTAGTAAACACAATGAAATTTTTAATATTTTTTCTGCATTAGTTTAGCATAAATGGAACTGTATTGGAATCCTAAGAGAAAATGATAGTTGATGCAAATTGATCATGCAAATAAGCTCCATAAACTTTGAGCAACAATCATGTAATTATATGCTTAATTAAAAAATGAGCAAATAGGATAAAAAGATAATGCAAAATCAGAGAAGAGGTAAGTAGGAAATTATACCTTCGATGAAGTTGCAATTAGGTCCAAACAAAGGTTAGACGCAAATAAAATCAAATATCAACCCCCTCAAAGGTGGATCTAGAAGGATGTTAATAACCCTTAATTGGCAGATCAACCACCTAGAAAATCAATTTAGCCAGCTACCCGAAAGTAGAAGTAAAAGAAACAAGAAAGGAACATCATTTCTCCAAAATTCAAAAAAATAGGAGGAAATCCTTACCATTTTTTCTTCTAACAGCCAACACCTTAGATCTTTGATGTAGTCTTCATCACCAACACAAAGTCCTTTGAATTCTTCCCCAAATTTGGATCTAGGGTTTTTCTCCAAAGGGAGAGAGCAAAGGATAAGGCGCGAGTGAAGAGTGACATTTTGGTAGAAAGCGGTGACCAGAAACCCTATATTATTTTGCCCTTTTCTTTCCATGAGCAAGAGCGCTTTAAGTAGGGAATTTTTTATTCTGATATCTGATTGGTTTCCAAGCGATTATGTAGAGCTTTTAGCTCTGAAATCATTTTACCTATATCCATGACGTGGAGGGTTTTTCCATGGGCGTCTTTCTTCATTTTTATAAATGAAACAAACAACTGAAATGAGCCTTTAAATTTCCATGTGACATTGTCGGAACATGGAAATCATTTTCTAGTCCTTTTTTTTTGCGAAGCAAACAGACCTGAAGTAAAGTGAAGTGGGAAGTAATATGCATGATGCAGAGTAAGTGAACAAATTTGGTTAGTCACTTAAGGTGGCATTTGTTTATTTTGTCTGAAGAGTTTAGCCTTGCAAGTCAACTAGATACACTTTAATTTTTTATGGCAATATTGTGCAAATGCAATCTTGATTTTCACTATCGATATTATGCTATCACAATTTATTAGCTTTCCTTGATTAAATGAGTTTAAACTTCATGTAAATTATTAAATTATGCTAGGGTTCGTTATCCTGCTTCCTGAATTTATTTGAAGTGTTATGTAAGGACCCAAGAGAGTTCATCTCCAAAAAGCTAGATTTTAGTAAGAGGGAACCCAAAACCCTTATGAACTCATATTAGCTCTCCATTTAGTCAACATGGGACTAAATGGACACTAACATACCACTCTACTTCCACGATGCCCCCACAAACTGGGTTTGCACTAGTCTAGTCCCCATCGAATGTTGCAATCCTCGCTTTAATCCCTATGGCTAGTGTTATCGAGGCGCAAGGCCCCTTACGCGCACCATACGCAAGGCGCACAACTCAAACTAATATTTTTCAACATAAGACAAAGAAGCATATAAGCAACATGTTTATAAATTATCACATAAAAAGATTAAGAAATATAATTTCACTAAAGAGTCTTAATTACTAAATCACGAAAGAGTCTTAATTAGCATGCATAACATAGAGAAGTTCATAAGTTTCCACAAATCACAATGCAAGATAATCTCTAATATAAGCAAAAGTCTATGAAACAAAACAAGCAAGTAACAAATAAGAATTATGTATTTTCATTTAAAATATGATATATGTATTTTTAAGTAACAATTAAGTTATTAACAAACATGACTGTTCATAATTTTCTAGTTAGCATTCTTAATTGTTATTTGCTAGTTAGCATGAAAAGATGGAGAATGAATGTAACAATATATTTACATGTTCATAATTTTCTAGTTAGCATGCTAATTAGAGAAGGAATTTACAACTAGCAAACAAGTATACTAAATTACTAATTATTGTTTTCTTTTTATAGGTTAAACATGAAAAGATAGAGAATGAATTAGCAACTAGCAAGAAAAAGAGTATTACATAATGTAAATATGTAATATGTAAATTATTTTTTTAAACAGAAGAAAGAGTATTACATGATGTAGGTATCAAGCGCACACTAGGCGCGCACGCTCGTGTGCG